CTTAAATTATTATAAATACTAATACTAATTAATATTATTGAATATATACCTCTTCTGTATATACAATTAAGCAGCAACAATAATAATGATTAATAATTGATGATCGTGAACGATAGACGAACGGCAGAACGGGGCAAACACAATAATTGCGTATTGTTTCTAGAACAAAATGAGAAAAAAGAAGAAAACAGTGGTGAACGATTATTAAGTTGTGAATATTAATAAGTGATTGTAATTATATACTTATACTTGCGGCGATACGATGATGTAATTGTATGAATCCACACACCACACGGTATAAATATTATAAATACATTATAGTGAAACGACGACGACGATGGTGGAGACAATGGTGATTTTTATTATATTACTATTATTATTAATATTATTAATTAATAATTATTACCATTATTATTGCGATCATTGCTATTATGGTTGTATTATATTGTATCGAGGAATATATACTGAGACAAGAATGATGAGAGTCCAATTAGACGTGAATGAGTGCAACAGTATCAAGTAAACGAAGAATAAATCCAAGGAGCGTCGTTTGTACTTAATTATACTACCTAGATATGGACCAGGCTGCACAGTCGAGCCTCGTCAGAGATTCCACCGTGTTTCTTATTTTCCATTTCTATAGACACCGTTCAAGCATCGCGCGATAATGAATCTATGAAACGGCCGTTTTTTTGTCTTCGACGAAGTACCTAAGTTGAGAAAATAAATTCCGAAAAAAAATCTTTGCAGACCCGTTGATAGGCAACAAAATTATCACCACATCTTTTTTTTATAAAAATACAGGATTGCAATATCGGGATCTATAGTATCGATATTTGCATTTTACGAAAATATTAGACGTACCTTTTTACAATATTTGTTCTTTTGATTAACGATTATCTGATTATCTCAGGTACCAAAATAATCTGAAGCATACTTGATACGGCAGGAATTTTTCGTAAGAGTCATTATTGCACATCATTAGTCTGTTACACGGATACGCCAATATATCAAGTTGCATCATGTCGATCGAGAAATTGAACTTTTCAGTCCTTTTGTTTTTGTTTTGAATTTTCCTAGGAATATACACACAAAGCCTGACAGGAAAGACTGCGAAAATGAGCAAATTAGAAAAAATCGATAAAAAATTTATTTTAGGAAATCATGAATCCTTAAGCTTTAAAATCAGAGTCGCATTAGTTTTTCATAGTGTTTGAATTATTTTCCAACATTTTATATTTTTATCTATTTAATTATAAGTAAATAATAATTTAGATTAAAGAAGCTACAAACTCAACATTAATGATAAAAATATTAATCATAAAAATATTACATAATGACAAATATTAGTATTTAATAGTTAAAAAATTATTAAAATTTTCTATAAATTAAATTAGTTTAATTTATTCAAAATTATCACAATTATTCAAAAAATTACAGCTACAGTTTTTATTATTAAATTTTTATTATAACATTTTATTTAATTAATAGATTAATTACTTGAATAATTGTTCATTTAATTTTACTTTATTCTTTAAACAATACTAATATATAATTTTCAGAACAAAATAGTTTAGAAAACAATATTTTATTACAAAATTTTAGTTTAATTTCTAAAAGTAATATTTTATTGTATTTTATTTACAAGACCGAGTTTCTTTCGATTTACCCATTTTTTCCCTTGGGAAGAAAACTCCCTTCGGAAGAATCCTTTTTCGTCTTGCGTAAGATTAGATAATATTACGCGAGAACGATCCTGTCACGCGCGTATACTTGTCCCATGAAGGTTTCGACTCAAGATCTTACGTTTTTCGATTTGCTCAAGAGAAATCGAAATATCCGTACATTATTTCTTGGCGAGCCGAACCAATGCTCAATACGACGCTGCTGTTGGTCTGAAGTTGATAATAATAAAGAAAAGCTGACGACACACGATTTTCTTTACCTGTACCGTCTGTACCTATAGGCCTGTAACGTGTATATGCAGCGGAATATAAGGGAATAATAAAAAGAAAAGCAGAAGCAACAAGGATACACACTTTTTATATGCATGATTTATAAGTTTTAATTTTTAATATTAAAGGAGATATATATACCACATGTTGTATGTGTGAATGAATTATTGGTTATTTAAATTGATGTTTTAAAATATCAAACCTGGGCTTCTCATTTTTCTATGACTTCTTCCTCATCTTTATCACATTTAAGTTCTGTCTGCCTATTACAATATATATTTTTTAAATTTGTAAAACAAAACTTAAAAACTTCAAGATTTAAATGAATAAACGGTATAAAATTTCACATGATTAAAGGTTAATAATATGTACAAATAAAATGAAAAAAGAGCACAAAATACTTTTAGAAATATAAAATTATTGAAATAAATATACAAAAAATTTTAAAACATTAAATTCATAAATATACATCAGCAAAATGAGTGTCTGTAAAATGAATTAATGTTTGAAAGCGTAAATGTTTAAAAAATATGAACATATAATTGATATTACATTATTATTATTATTATTACTTTATCATTGAGCTGGCACATCGCAGGGATATCGCGTGTGCAATATCTTCAGAAGACCATTTCATCTTTTGTAATGAAGGATTCAATATCATTCGTATTTGTTTTGGATTAAACATTTTCCCTAGTAAATCATACATTTTTCTTTTCACCAATTCTTCATCTTTTTTGATCTCGCTCTCTCATACCTATCTATTGTCTCCTTCAGTGTTGCTACTTGGAGTTTCAGTTGACGTCTAAAAGCGAAATGAGTAAGGATAAGGAATAAGCGATAAGGAATAAGGAATAGAGAACAAGGAATAAGGAATAAAAAATGAGGAATAAAGAATATGGAATTAAGATAGTTTTCATGTACTTTTGTAAGTGTTTTTATTCTATTTTATTTTATAATTATTTTATAAATGTATATATTTACTTTTTATTATTATTTCTTTATTTATTATTTATTTTTTTGTTCATTTATATTTTATTTGGTTTATTATCTATTTATTATTATTATTGTATTTATTATTTATTATTTTTATTTATGTATTTATTTATTTATTTATTTAATTTCATTTATTATTTATTTTTTATTTTAATATCTCAATAAAATTATTGCAACATTACATTGTAATATATCGCGATGTAATATCTCAGTAGTATTTACGTAATATTGTACTGCAAGTTGCAATATTACTGCAATATTGTAATCTTATTATAATATTACTGCAATATTACATGCTGTATGGGTAATTGAATATAATTTATAACTTACATTTTTAAAGACATGGTAGCTTTTGTCTGAAGATGTAATCTTTTTGTTCGATGTTGGTGAAGCCGTTATTTCATCGAACTTCTCCACAGCTGACGAATCTTCATTGAATGCTGACGGAGCTGTTACTTCGTCGAATATCTCCACAGCTGACGAATCTTCGTTTGATGCTGACGAAGATACTGCACAAAGACGCAACGTTGGGATAGCATCGAGACGTAACTTTTTCATTCTTAGTGGAGAATAACCCAGCGATTGTTACTGTAAGGGCTTCCTAAAGGATGCATCAGAAAAAAGAAAGGAAATATTGAAAATTTCGATATTTCCAATATTTCCTTTCTTTTTTCTTTTTCTTTCATTCTTATTTGGGTTTAATTTCTGGCATTTATAATATATTCTCGATGTAGGGGAGCTCACCATGACAAGATAATTTTTATTCACAGTTTATATATGTTAGTTGTCTCTGAAGAAGACTCAAAAGTGAGCCGAAACATGTAAGCGCGTTTAATAGAATAAAGAAGTTTTACGCTTTATGGGTGTATTATTTGCGCGACGTCTTCTGCGCCTGACTCCTATTGCCCTTATTCTTTCCAATTTCTTTTGATTTATAAGGAGTCTTTGTTAGTTTGATTTGTTATACGGATTCATAGTAAATAATATTTAATAAATTGAGTTTTTGATAGGTGCGACGTATATACCGGAGTTACTCTAAACAATCAAATTGTTTGAAATTAATAATATTATATTGAACCATTAATAATTTTTTAACGGAGTCAAAAGTTAGTTTATTTCTGTCCTCAAGGAGCGTTCATGAGGCTGAAGCTTTCCACATTGTCATTATGTATTGGAGTAGCAAAAAAAAGAATGCATCTTCAAGATTTCTCGTAGTTCGAATGTTTATTCACATTTTTAAAGTATATATTTATATATATTTATTCGATGATATTTTCCTTGACAATTCTATATTCGCGACCATGCTTTCCAATTAATAATTAAGGGGATTATTAATATTTCAGATTTGATTGCGTTGAAAGTCCGACAACCATATCGGCACGTAATTTTAATTTCTGAAATTAATTCATTTAAAATGAATTTAGAATAGTTCAACATCTTAACGTTCAGACCGTTAGTGGCGCTTCTTAGTTTAAAGTAATGTATTTAACATAAGCGATCTTCCAATCTTATTATTATAAACAATCAAATTTAGTCTCTGACTATACATATACATTAGCATTAGACTGACAAGGAGAAAAGAAAATATTTTTTTTTAATCGGCTTCTCAGATCAGAAGCTTCCATTTCATGCCAAAAGAACACTCCTAAATTTTTATCAAAAAATATTAAGATTTATTGGTCGCTAATGCGACCTTTAATTAAGGAAAATAAATTAAATAAATAAATTAAGGAAAATCGAAACTTCGATTTATAAGAATCGTTCACTAGCGACCAATAAATCTTAATATTTTTTTCTTAATGTTCTTTTGGCATGAAATGGAAGCTTTTGAGCTGAAAGTACGATTAAAAAAAAATTTTTTTTGTCAGTCTAATTTGCATGTATGACATAAACTTAGATAAAAGTGGTGGAAATGCGCAATGGTCTGACACAAGTATAAGCTTGTCTTTATATCATGATTTATTTTTCGTTTTTTCCGCCGAGAAATTTGACATTCGATTCTTAGACGGCGTTGTGTATACGATGCTAATTTCGTACGATTACAGTTGTCAAGTAGCAATGTCTGGATCACGTCGCCAACGTCGAAAGCATAACTTTTGCTCCCAAGACGTTCGAAATTCTACGAACTCGCTAAATTCCTACAAATGGCCGATGCGTTGAAGGCATGGCTGCGTACAAGACTAGGTGCGATCATGGATCTCACGCCGAAGACGTTTGGTCGGTACACGAGAGACGGCACACTACTGGCCCAGATTCTACATAGCTACGATATAATCAATAGCGATCAACTAAGCACCATTCTTTCTACACGAGATCCTGCCTTGTCCAGGGTGAACCTTAGAACCTTACGAATCTGGCTGAAGCTTATCAATGTTATGCTGAGCGATGAGTGCATTGAGGATATCTCTAAAGTATTCTTACAAAAGAAGCGGTATAATAAATAGATTTAAAAAATTAAAATAAGGAAAAAGGATAAGGAAAAAAATATTTAAACAATTTTTCAATTAAAAAAATTTTAGTTTCAATTTCGAGTTTTTTAAAGTGAACATTATTATACGGGAAAAAATCTATATTAGACAGAGAAACAAATATTTTTATTATAGACAAATTTCTATTAATTTACATATTTCTTTATGAAGATATTAGACATCATATCGTAAGGTAATTTATATAAAAACGACACTTTAGGGTAAAGGTGCTGCGTCTCTCCAGCTGTTCTACAAGGTTTATTTGAGCCTTGAGGGCAAAGATCGACTGCATTTTATCGCTCTTCAGAAAGAGCAAAAATACATGCATAGTAGATTCGACGTCTCCAAAGTGTCTGAAGATCTAGCCTCTTATTTACCATCTGAACATCCTCTATCAGCACCATTGATCGAGGCAGCCGATACTGTCCTCTGGCACAGAAATAAGTTTTGGGCAATCACGAAAGCCTGTAGACGAGAACGAGAGCGATTTGAGGCTCTCATGGAGTATCCAGTGATACAGCCGATCGAGCACTTTGTCCCAGAAGAATTGCTAGACAAAAAACAGAAAGAGAGCGAAATACTGGACGAATTCACTCGCAAGCATCCAGCTTGTAAGACGAAGAAAAGATACCAAGTCGAGTGTTGTCCCTCGAAGAGAACCTTGGATGTGTCCTGCATCGAGGATCCCACAGCTGCTGCGGAATATATCGACTTCCTGAAGAAGCGTAGCAAGAAAACGGCTAAATGTCACGAATTAAAGCTGAAAACACAAACAACAATGATGGCAGAGGCTTGGGAACGATTACTGAGGAAACAAGACAGATCCTTCGACGAGGCTCTTGGAAGACGAGTACTGGATCAGTCGCGTTATGAGAAACAGATATTGAGGAAGCTATGTGAAGTGCGAGACTTAAGAAATAGAATTGTGGAAACTCGTAGGATAGTTGATACAATGTTGCTGAAGGCTAGAGAGAACGAATTGCGATTCAACCAATATCGTCATGAAGAAACAATAAAGGAAAAGAGAGAAGAGGTGGAACTGGAGGCCTGTAGAATGCGCGAACTGCATAAAAAAATTCGCGAAGGAAAGGTGAGTAGGTAACAATATTTTATTATGCCCTAGAATAAAGGGGCATAATAAATTAAATCTCTTCTTTTAAGAATAAGAAGAAGAATATATATAACCAATGATTACACAAAATAATTATAAAATATTGACAATATTTGTTTCCCTATTCTATCCTATTTAATTTCACAAAGTGAAATTAAATAGGATAGAATAGGGAAATATTCAATTTTAAAATAGAAGAAAGCCAAAAAAAAACTGAAAAGGATTGTAATACATAAGTAAAAGGCGATCTTATAAAAACTCAATATTTTGAACATTGATAACAATATTTATAAGTTACATATAAGTTAAATTAAAAAACGCATAAATGAGAGAGAGAGAGAGAGAGAGAGAGAGAGAGATTATAATGAATTTAAATTATTAATACATGAAAAATAACGATAATATATTTTCATATAATGTATAAATAATTTTTATTATAAGGTGCTGATGTAAAATATTTACATTTTGAAGGTACGCAGGATGAAAGAAAAACATCATGGTATCTGTTCAGAAATTATAAACGATCTCATAGATATCGCGGTGAAAATTTCTGATTATCGTCAGGTAAATGGTAATCATATCCCAAATTCTATTTGGAACGAATGGAGAATGTTATTTCTGAAGAGCCAACCAATATTCGAACATACGGATTACTTTGATGAAGAAGCAGAAAATACAGAAGAAACAAAAAATGAAAAAGAGATAAAAACGAATGAAGATGAAGAGGAAAAAGGTGCAAGAGGGAATAGCGGGGAAAGCGTACGAAACGAAGAGGGAATAAAGATTGGAAAAACATTAAAAGTTGAAGAAAATCGGAAGTTAGTTCAGCTGGAACGTCAGCAATCTTTGACTGATGCAGACTTTGAGAGTTATCGGGATCTAGCTTCACCCTGGGATCAATTTGTGCCGAAGAGAGAAAAGGAAGTTGAAGAAGTTTACAGATTAGGTTGTGTTGTGCTTGGTTACATCGTTCATCGCTTATTGGAGATCTTATATCCTTATCCGGCCAAAATAATGGATTGTCCTGTGCCTAGAGTCAAGGTTGCAGCCATTATTTTGGGTGTAACAAATGCAACCTTACACAAACAGTTACGAGAGTTGCTGAAGAATACCGGAATTCGTTTGCTGACGATGGAAGATGCGATCAATCATTGTCTAGAGAGTTACAAGCGGGAGATGGTCGATGTGGAGTACATCGATCTCAACATCATCTCGACGACGGCGAAAGACATCAAGAGATTGGAAGCTAAGAGTAAGGCTGACTCAAGGGAGCTTCACTCAAAGAAGATTGAACGATCAGCGAAGTCGACACCGTTCCACCAGAACGTGGCTGAGGAAAAACAAACGCAAACGCCTAGACAGATACCTTATGACGATATGGACCCGATTTTAAGCGATACCGCATACATAGGTAGAAAAATTTAAGAGAATAGTTGAAATCATAATTATAATCCTTAAAATTTTTTTTATGTAGCATATCCGGCTTTCTTTTTCAAATGCTTTTTGTATTGCTTACAACTTTTTTATTAATAAAGATCCATATTAACACATTTGTTTAGTTCCATTATGTTTCTTCTCTAATATCTGACGTTTCAATTGAAAAAAATATTTACAATATATAGCTGGTTATATGAAAGTTATAAGGAATCAAATTAGGTGGATATCGCAGTTGTAGTGCAATGTTTACGAATTAACAGCATAAATAAAATAATTTTATCAACTCTAAAATCGTGATTTACAACATTAATGATGCCATTTCGAAGATAACTTGTATAGATACAGTTTATTAAAGATAGAATAGTATTGTATCGAGAATTAATTTTTTAATAACGGACATAATGGACATTAGAAATCTAATTGCCAAAAATATGTACTTATTGTAGATCATAGAATAGCAATGACTATTATTTGATTGCTACCTACGATATTTAGGCAAATGGACTTACGAGTTTCTCACGTTGGGTCAACCGATTTCGAACGAATTGAATACAAAGATATTGATTGAGTACTTAAAAGGAATCGGAGATGTCGAGGGATGGGCATTAATAAATTATCCTAACACCTATGAACAGATGGCGATGTTGGAGAAAGCACTAACAGGACGTGAAATACCTCCCGATCCCGTCAAACTTACTGATGTCAACGTTGAAGACATCGATCTTCCATCAGTCAGAATTATGTTCGAGGATGAAGTCGACACATTTGCTATATGCAGGTGCGTTTGATGTCAAAATTAATTTGTGATTTCATAAGCTATATTGATTCTGCAAAGATACTTAATATTACTGATATTATTTATATGTTTAGATTTATTTATTGCCTCCTCCGTATTTAAAACGACGTTCGCGCGTATTTAGCATACAGTTCACGTTCGTATACTATACAATTTTAAACATAAAAAGAGAGCATTCTAAATACAGGTCATTGTTCTTAAATTTTATATAATAGCATATTAGAGAATCAATTCGATTTCGCTTGCTATTTTTAATTAACCCCTTCAGATTCAGCGTACATCTAATTTGAAGACATTATCTATTGAAATTATTTAATTCTATCGACAGATGTCGATAGAATTTGAGATCTAATGTATATAATAATGTAGGTATATGTTGAAAAAATAGTCAAAATTTTGAAAAAAAAAATTAATTTGGTATGAATTATTTATTTAAATTTAAATACGCATGAACTGAATTAAAAGAAATTTTTTTAAACATAGATCTAATAAAATCAGGTCTGAAAGAGTTAAAGCTCATAAATGCTTAATAAATTATTAATTATTGCGTTATGTGGATTTTCTAAAAGTTAATGTAATTTTAATAGGCAATCTAGATTGTTGCCGAATCCAATTTCCAAAGCAAAAGACTATACTCCTTCTACGTTCATGACAATTTATATTAAGGCAATGCCAAAGCCGAAGGCAATAGACAGTCAAGAACAGCCTTGTATACCTCTACCCGACGATGCTACCTCGATGGACGAATTTTATGCTAATCAAGATATTGAATATGGATTTTTTTACAACGTTCTCGATCTTTCAACCTTGGAACAATTAGCCGAACTTATCACGGATCATTTTCATGGACAGAAACTTTTGGGACTTTCCGAAGAGGTTCTACAGACAGATAAACAAAAATCTGTTATTGATTCGAAAACGGCTGTTATTAAACGCTTGATACCGAAATCCAAATGGAAACGCTCAGAATACGAAGAAAAGAAAGATATCAAAGCTGAAAGCCGCGACTTACAATTAGAAACTGAAACGCAGTTAGCAAATGGTTACGCTAAACCTGGGGAAAGCAATTGGCAATGGCTAGACTTCTTTCAGCCTATAGCTTTACTCGAAATTTTAGCTACACTTTGGGAGAATGTTGAACAGGCTTATATTGAAAATTTGAAAGAGACTCTTTCCTTGAGGAGGATGCATTTGTCAGCCATTATACCCTACAAGAATCTTGTCTTCAGGAATTTAATGAAATTCATCTACCGACCTGATAAACGACAGATTTTGTTGCAAGATTTTCATCAGGCCTTTAATGAAATCGATGAAGACCTTAGAGAAGATTTGGATATGAAATGCGAGTTGCACTGCCGGGTACGCATAGAAAATAATAATATACCTAGTAAAGAAGTGAGGAAAAAGAGATTTTAGAATTTGGTATAATCTATAAGTTTCTATTCATATTAATCTTTAGAGGGGTTTATTTTTAAAATCTTACAGCTTAAATTTTTCTTGAATAAAGTTTGTTATAATTCATTATTTTTTTATTGTATTTCTTGCCTCAAAATATGACACTGTTTCAGCCATATTATAATGGCTTTCCTATCCTGTAAAGATTAATAATCTTAACTTAACTTCAATATAAAATTTTATTACTTCAACAAGGATATAGAAAAAATTACATTTATTACTCTTTTCGTTGTTAAAAGTCTTAAATTTTTCGCACTAGGTTGATGACTTTCGAAAAGAGTTGTGGGAGCTGTGTGACGCGCGAAGATACGAGGCTGAAGAAGAGAGAAAACGTACACTGCGCAATCAGTGGACTTTGATGGAAGCTGTGATTCTCATCAATGTGTATATTGGAATTTTGCAAACCGAAGTTGACAGATTCGTCGACACTATGCAGCTCCTTCAAGATTATTACACCTCCATGTCGCAGAAACCATTGCAAGAATCGCGATTTTCTAAAATCATCCTTGATAATATCGAATTAGAGAATGTTCTTCAGGAAACCTTATTGGGTGAAGATAAAAAACAAACGGCGAAAATCGAATCGATCGAAGCTTCCGCTCGAATCATAAATAAGGATCAGTTTATGACTGAAATCGAAACTTTGTTAATCGATGTATCGGAGAGCTTTGATCCTGATCAGAGCATCATTTATAATATTATTAAAGATAATATTCGACAAGTGCGAGATACTGTAGATTCCATCTCGTCCGTGATGCTGGAGATGTTGAAGAAGGAAGAGAAAGCCGTGATTTCAAAAACCGAAACTAAAAGCAAAGGAGACATTTCGACCGATTCTACATTCACCAAGCTAGCGAGACGAAATCGTGATCTAGTCGAGGAATGGCGGTATGTCGTTTTGTTCGAGATCGAGCGTATATATCAGAGATTGGATGTGCTGAATGCGGCTGCTCGATCAGACGTGACTTTTCTTTTGGATACTATGAGACAGACCTTCCATCGCATTCATGATCATATTGTCGAAAGGTTGATTTAGTTATCGCATTTTAGAATTAGTTATCGCATTTTAGATTTAGTTATCGCATTTTAGAATTAGTTATCGCATTAATCTTTTATTTTGCAAGTTAATGAGATCGCAAAATGAATGCATTAACCATAACGAAACAAATACAAGGTCATACAAAAAATAGATTTTAAAAACGAGTATACAAGGTGACGACTGATTAATTTATTCTATTATCCTATTATTTAAAATCTATTGACCTTGTATTTGTTTTGTTATTGCTGTGCAATCTTATGAACGTGTTAGAATTTAACATTTTAATACGAATGCATTAAATTACTTTCATGGAAATATTTGATATAGAAAATATAAATAAATCATTTTATTAGAATCAATTATTTACTCGTGTAAACTTGAAATCTGAAAAATTTAATGCTTTATTTTAAATTGAAGAGTATAATTTAATTCATTTTTTAATGTTTTATAAATGTTAAAACATCACCAAGCTTTCTATAAATACTTTATAAACGAAAATATTATTTAGATTTAAAAAATAGCTTGTTATATATCTAATTATTTCTTTAACTTTAATTAACATTAGTTATAGTATCATATTGCCTTTAAAAAATTAGATATATAATGCATATAATGACATATATTTTTAGATATAAACGTGAAATCGAAAGTATCGATGAAATGGCGAACGTTTTTTGCTTTGCCATCGAAGAAGAAAGACCGATTCAGCAAGAACTACTATTAGATGGCGATCGATTTGTCGTGAGACCAAACATTGTAAGTAAAGATCACGAACAATTCGATGTCCCGATCAGAGAAGCGCCTTCACCTCTACGATTTCGAATGGTTCAACTTGGTCGATTGATAGACATTTTCCAACGAATCGCTCCGCATGGAATCGTCAGTGAACGCGTCCTAGTTTACATTCTCCAGGACTTGGTATCCTGCGGCGAAGAGGATTGTTACCCGCCCTTCGTGCCATGCGCCTGGCGACAATTGCGACCCCCAGATATCGAAATATTGGTCGAACGATTGTTCGGCTCCACCGAATATATCGAATGGCGAGAATTTGTCGTGTATGCAATGGATCTGCCTGTGCCATCGATTCAGGAGATTCTGAAAGCACGAGCAGCCTTCAAGATGCACGATCCCGAATCGAAAGAGGTGGTCACATGCGAACAATTCCATTTGATACCCTTGTGGTTTCTCGAAATTTCCACCCTTTACAGGAGTTTCTTGGATGAAAAACTTGATGACAGCAATTCCGATACATTAAAGAACATAATGTTGCGCAAAGAAGCACAATTAGGCGAGCGTTTTTCGAGTTTGGGGAACAATTTCATCGAAAGGAACGAGGATGATTCCGGGTATATGGAAAACACAAATTAAATGAAATAAAAATTTATGGAGTAGAAAATTAAAAGGGATTAAGTCCATTTGAAAACAATTCGTTAAAACGTTCTTTATTAAAAATTTTTATTTGATTTGAAAGTTTTTTTTAAATCTACTTTTCATTCACGAACGATTCGATTAATTACTTTCAATTAATTGTGTATTCGATTAAACATTTTTTATTAAAAAACTTTCCGAACAATGCTTTTTTAAATAAATTCTCATACTTCTCTTTTTCGATAAATTTTTCGATTAAATTGCTTTCGCAGCGCAATATTGAGGCTGATGCTGGCAAAGGAACTTCTCTGCCGCATGTATCTAGTAAACCGAGACTCGGTTCATTATACCGCCATGCTGCTAGCCTTCTGCAAGAACGAGAATCCTAGCGAAGGTCTGGGAAAAGCGTTCTCCCTTGCCATGGGTGCTAGAGTTTGTACCGATACAGTAGAAGGTGAGAAATACGTCGAAGAGCTTGCCAAGCAGAAGCGCCGTGTTAAGGAGTTGAAATTGAGTCGAGATTATCTTCGAGAGGAGGCTAACGAGGTAACTTGAAACTCATACTAATACTGATTTACGAAGTCAATATCAATCGACTTGTTACGTTTGTGATGAAATAAATAAAGTATAGTGAAAGAGAGAGAAAGAGAAAAAGAGAGAGAATAATTAGACACAAATAAAATAAACTGTAAAAGAGAAAGAAAGGAGAAAATAATGATTTCTTATTGGAACTTTTACACTTTATACTGAAGTTAAACAGGAACTGTACTAATGTAGACATTTTTTACTATAAATAATAGGATATATCGTTTCGGATTAAAACAGAATATTTTCAATATTTGAATAAGTAATTTTATAACAAAATATTTATAAGAAATTATATGTGGGTTTAGCATAAAAGTTCTACATTTATATGTTGAAAAAATCTGAAATAAAATGAATATATTTTTTTTAAAGATCGTTAAAAAGAAAATATTAATTCCTGTATAAATAGCGATATATCCGGTTTCAGGTAGTGCGAGAAATTGTGAATTATATAATAAACAAAACGACAGAGATTGTTGCTTTGTTGGAGAAATCCCGCGATCATGACTTAAGTCCGAAACGCCAGGTAATGATCCAACAGTTGAATGGACAGGTCGAGGTAAATCCGGCTGAGCTTTTGCCACCAGAAGTGATAGCAGAGCACCTAGTTGTAGAAAATCTATCAGCGATCAGTGACGAATACGAACACAAGCACACTCTCTTGCCAATCGAGGATGAAACGCTCGAAGATCATGAAAAGATACAGCAGGATGAAAGAGTGATCTTTTGGCTGCCGCGGGATGTTTGCCTGGTAAATCCTTTCATTTGCTCCTGCGAATAATTACGAGCAAGGGTTTTTTTTTCAAAGGAAAAACAAATTTTTCACCGAAATAATAAATCTTACTTTGAATATTAGAATAGAGTTTAAATTGGAGAAGCAAAAATGAAATAGAAATACAATTTTAGTTGGAAATGTGAATGTAGCTGATGCTGTGATGTAAATATGACCTCTGATTTTTATTTAGTTTATTAGATGGTCCCATTTGACCTTTACAGGCCAGAAAAGCCACTAAAGTGGTGCTGAAACAGTATTATATTTTGAGGCAAGAAATATAATGAAATAATAAACATATAACAAATTTTATTCAAGGAAAAGCTGTAAGATTTAAAAAATGGACCCCCTAATCTAAAAGTTAAATATGTCCTTTTTTTAGACAGTTTTATCCACTTGTCTACCGTGGTTTGCGTCGCAAGCAGATCTCTTTCATACCACTTTGAGTCTTTGCGAAGGAATAGCACGCGTATATGACGAGTTAAAAGACAAGGAGTTGAATGACGAAAAAGACCTCGTTTTAGCTCACCGTCTGGTGAACCACAGCTTCATCTGCGAATTACTCCGCGCTTCTTCCAAGTTTATCTCGAAAAACATGGCAGATCTGCTCCGCAGTATCTTGAAGAATAAGGATGACCAAATGATGTAACCATAAAAATTTACGCAGAGTTGTGCCGTATTTCAACAAGATTACATTTACATCAAATTTTTATATATTGTTTACGTTAAGTTTACACGAATTCTCTTCACATATAATACAAGCCATGTATATAAAATGTGTAAATTATTTTACATTAAATAACACAGTACAGAAAGAAGTAATTATGTTTTATCATTGTTTTAATGTTTGATTTTAGTATTGATAAATAAAAATGTATAAACTAGATAAAAGCTTTATGCTTTAGTGCAATGATAAAGAAACACATTCTCGAATTCGATTTTTAGAATTTCACTTTTATTAAGGGGGAACTCGCACTTTAGAGAGAAGATCGAAAAAAAAGATGATTTTTCGTTATTTTTTCAAAAGGAAGATTAATATTTATCATTTTAAAACTTTTTGCACGTTTTAATATAACTATTGTAGAGTACGTACAAATTTTTATATGTGAAAAAAAGTATTATAAATAATAAAAATATAGACATCTAGTTTGGCGTCTCGCTACGATGTCATGATTTTGTGTACATCCTAGCGGCTGTAATTCTTACAGCAAACAAGAAATTAAGATCAAAATTTAAATACTAATCGGGCTCTCGATATTAAAAAACAATAATATAATATACGTATAATGAGAACGTTAACACAGCGTGGGAATTGGTGCGCAATTTATATAATAGTCAAATAATATTCACATAATATATTAAAATTGTACAATGACTGTCGATATAAACTTATTTGGACGTTTCTTCAAATCATCTTCAGCAAATTCGTAGATCATTATCATATCTTGACAAATAATTGGAAAATGTTGAAATTATGTTCAATGTAAGATTGAGGACGAGTATCTCCCTACTGTCTGATTGGGAATTGCCCAATTTTTGTCTCTTCGCTGTTTAGCCAAGTGACTAACCTCCTTCTTCATAAATCAAGAAATTAAGAAATATTTTTAATTTTTATAGAATTTTATCCTAAATGAGCCTAAAAAATTGAAAAATATATATATAAATTAAAATTTGTGCCACTTTGAAAAAAGTTACAATTTTTATATTAGCCGTTTTTTTATGCAAAAAATTGTTGATGTTGATTCTCTCTCTCTCTCTCTCTCTCTCTCTCTGATTTAATTTTTTGGGTTCATCGAGGATGGTTGACTATTATAGCTAATTAACGAACCCTATAAAAAGTTGATTGGTCAAATATTTTTTTCTCAATCAGTTCTTGAGTACTTAGAGTGCTCGGAGACTAATCTGTTATTCCAGGGGCATACAATAATCCTTCAACTTCCTCGTGGAATTCATTTTAGACAATTTGAGCCATTCTACGTGGTACTTCGGCCTCTCTCATGCTACTAACAAGGGAACAATCAGAACTGACCCTCACCGATTTTAATGAACTTTGGATATGTTGTAGAGCATGAAAAAATATTAGACCCATATTTTTTGTGCTTATTTCGAGGTTTAAGGGGTGAAACACCTTCAAAAAGAATCGGTTTTTTCTTTCGAATATCATTGAAATTATAAAAGATAGAAAAAATTTTCCAGAATGAAAATTGAATGGCTTCGAGAACATTTTAGAACTGTAATAATAAAAAAATTTTTTTAATTATTTATTATACCTGCACGCCGTATATACAAGCGATTTATATCGAAGGATTTCGAATTTCGCTCTAAAATTTTAGAGATATATTCTCGAAGAGTTGTACTATCGATTTATGAAAAAAAAAATCGACTTTTTTGATTCTATAAAGTAGGAGACCCCTTTAATTTAATCCGTTTCTGTATTTATATTAAACATATATATTTTCGTCAATCTGTACAACAGCTTTCAGAATTTATTAAATAATAGATTTCAATGATCCATAGATTATTTATTATTAAAATGCATAAAAATAAGACATAAAAATATTTCCATTCAATCTTATGTATTATATATTTATTACATATTATTTTGTATATAATCTATTATTTATTATTTATTACATATTTATTATGCTATATATATTTATAAACATTTATTATGAATGCATACATGTAAAATGTTAAAACATATTTACATAGTTAACACTGCATACACGTAGTTTATTATATTTACACATAAACGCTGCACGACCTCAAGTAGAACAACAAGTCACGATAACGTTAAAATAACATTAAAATCAATCGGAAATGATTGAAAAATGACTTTTAATGATCATTTTAGAGTCATTTTGATATCATAATGACTTGTTCTGCTTGGGGTACCTTGTCTTAAGATTTACCACGAAGAGCAAGTCTTTCCTGCCTTTGATACGAACAATTTACCGACGCCGTCAGATGTCGCCACGTGACCGGCACGTTCACCGAACGGGTCGCGGGCGGTTCCGCCAATCAGCGCATCGCGTTTCCGTCGGCGCCATCGCGAACGATGACGTTCGCTCGCGGTCGCGCTGCGACAGTTTCGCGACGAGATGTCCTCCGCAGTGGAGATCGTCGGAGTAGCTCCGCGCCCCTCTCACCCTGCGACAAGCGATCGCCGTCGTCGTCGTCTGGCGAGCGACGTTATCCACGCCCGCCGCGACGACCGCGATTCGTCGATGGGTCGCTGGTTGCGCCGATAATTCGATAAGAACAAAACGACGAGAAAGGGGTGGGAAAGACGCATACAAGCGCGAATTCGGGAGCGGCGCGCCCGAATCAACGTGGCCTCGGCCATCCTCGCGACAAGGCCGGCTGTTGGAAGCTGCACGAACGGACACGACGCCACCCGATCCAACGCGACGCGATCACGTGGCTGTCCGTCTGTCCCTCCGGCTGACCGTGTTTACTTTCGTTCGTTTATTCGTTCGTTCGCTCGCTCGTTCGTTCGATCCCGTATGCACGTCCGTGAGCGCCGAATTGACAAACAGTACGACGCGACGTCGGCGCGTTCATCTCGCGCGCTCGGGATGTAACGCCGTGGTTGTATCCCACCGTTTTACTCCACTGGTATCCAGATGCTGTATGTCGTCCACGTCGCGGAGGCAGGGAGACGGTGACGCGGTCATCGAAGATCGACTACGGTCGCTGGGATAAAAGGTGAGTATCACTGTGTTGTGTCCGACTACACGTTTATTGTTTATACTTTATCTCATCTCGTGGCAGAGATTACGTCAAGCTGGACTCACGTGACAGTTGATGGCGCGAGAGATTACTGCAACTGCTGAAAGAGAAAGAGATAGAGAATAAAAAAGAATCTATTTTTCGTCGAAGCGAAATATGAAGAGTCCCATTTATATCAGGTTTAATTTAGATGATCTATAATTTGCGTTGGATAAAATCATATTTATTATATGCTATAAGCATATATAGTTTGATAAACATGTTTATGTCATACATTCTGATAATGCATTTATTGCATTATTTTGTTTATAAATATATATAGGATAATAAGTAATTGTAATAATTTAATAGAGATATTTTTATTCGTTCTATATGTATTTTGATAATAAAGAATATATATATAAATATACTCACACGATAATAAATTAATTCTGATAATTTAATAAATATTTTTTATATGCGTGTGTTCTCTGAAACGTAACAAATATTTTTTTATATTATTCTTTTTGTATTACGTACTTAAAATTGTAAACAGGTTTTCATCCTTGAATTCTGATGCAAGTTATAGAGCATTTGAAATGGATAGATAGCGATCACTGATCAGATAAACAAAAATAGATTGCATTAAATCAATTTTTAACAGAACGTACACGGAAAAAAATAGTTTAGGATGAAATACAGTTACGAAACTAATTATCCAGGTAATGCGCCATGATATCAATGACTTCTTCAAACTAGTGATTTATATTTGGATAATTAATTGTGAAACTACCAGTGCTTGTAATGCGTGCATGGAACTACAATTTTCGACACTCGGACAGCACTTTAAATCTCTATATTGGCGCACTGTTCGGACAATTTCGTGACTATATATAATCGCAATGAACGTAATATCTCAATTATTTCATTTTTATCGGTCAATTTTAGTTTGCGTGCAGTGACAAGCAATTGAGATATATATATTTCTCTCTTTCTCTCTCTCTCTTTCTCTCTCTCTCTCTCGTGAAGATTTTAAAATAAACGTATTAAACTCTCGCGTGCATTTGGCTGTACCGTCGTTTCTCGGATTATGATACTGCAGGAAAGTTAATATGCCGAAATTACACGATTCATTTTGTTTAACGAGACACTACGCGAAACTACGTAGCCCGCGCATTTTGCATTAATGCGCAGCGCAGGCCAAATGAGATTGTAGAAATAAGTTCACGAATACTGCAATTCGTCGCTTATTAAACACGTGGAACACCGCTCCGAAATTCCGTGGATGTAATTTGGCACGTTTTCGACCGTACAAAATGTCCGGACACGATTACTTTTCCCATGTCGAATTCAAACTTTGTACAATACATACAAACGCGGAAAACTGTAACATCATAGTTTCAATAGAGAGTATTTTGTAATCTATTAATTTCGAATTTACGCGGTCGATTTTAACGAGTACGAGTTCTGGTACAAAGTTAATGTTACATATATATATATATAGTCAATCTGTTATATTTTATATATTAATATTATAATAGTTGTTTTAATGCACAACAATAAATTAAATTGTCATTCAATTAGAAATTACAGTATGAATTTTCAAACAGCAGTTTGCCTTGCTATTTTAAAGGAAATATTATTATACTTTTAAGTAAAAAGAAAAATAAGTAAATAAAATGTGAAATGTGTGAAAAGTTATTTCGACAAAACTTTTTAAAAATATTTTTAAAACTTTTTCTTAAGCTTTAGGATTGTTCGAAGGATTGTTGAAAGTTCGTACATTGATTCCTGTTTAAAACAGAAACTTATCTTTTTTAAGAAAATGATATTCAGGATGAAACTAAATTAACAAATAAAAACTTTTTAAAAACTTTATCAATTTATTTGCGAATTATTACAACAAATGGAGGATTATAGCAAAAGGAAAATTTAAAGCAGTAAAATGACTCTTAATGAAAGCGGCATTTGGATTTTTAAGTCGCGCGGCTATCGATAACAAAAAGTTTGAAATTCATATTTATCAGTTTTTAATCTTTTTCTCAAACTTGAGAGATAAATTGAAGAAGTTAAAAGTTCCTGAGGAGTTCACAAGTTTATATATCAATTCCTATTTAAGATTCCTATGAAGATTGCTATCATTGAAAAAAAAACCTATTTAGAATGAAATTGTAAATTGACATATAACATAGAATATCTATAAATTATCGCGCATTTAGTGAGGAATTACTGCAATAAAAGAAAACTGTCAAATAACTTTTAGTAGCGACAACTTGAATAATTTTTGACAGTTACGTGCGTCTATCGGTCGCATAAAATTTGAAATTCAAAACAAAATTACCGTGATGCTATTGTGCAAAAAAACAATGCAGAAACCCGTACGTGCACGGTGACCTAAATGCGCGACAGTACGTTTTTAATCCGCGGAGACGAAGCGTGCGCATCGATAAAGGGGACAGAACGAGGACGAATAGCGCGTTCTGCGCCTTTTTCTTCTCTACAAAAAATAGTTCTCGCTTCATCGTTGAGAGAGAGTGGATCTTACCCTCCTTACTCATGCCGCAAGTAGTTTCTCTTGTTTATTCGAGAGGGAGACTCGAAATAATGCCCGACATCGTGCAAAACTTCGCTCTTCTGGAAGCACTCAACGAGAAAGTTTAAGCATATAAAACACGAACTCTTACGTGATAAATATGTACTTTTTTTAATAAAAAATATTCTTTTTTTTATCTTAAAAGTACAAAATTAAAACGATAAATATCTTCTCTTTTTACCGTTGCGGTACAAAATTCTTTCATTTGTTCATGCCTTCAAAATTTTTAAAAATTTATAAAAGTTGATCTCTGTATGATAAAATTAATTTTACTCTGTGTATATCAAGCCTATTTTTTTTCTATTAAATGATTTACGTTATTCAGGATCAATGGAAAATAAACAGCCGATCAATAGATAAATGATTAGGGATAATCGTGCTCGTTTGAACCCGATATTCGACATAATGGTGAACAAAGCGTGAAAATGACCGACACGTATGCCTACGTGCGTGTGATTAAACGCAACGCCGCATGCTTTTTGCGTATTTGCATAAAACGAGATGAGTCCTCTGTACGCTAATGGGGCGCTGTAAATCTCAACAATTATAACATTGAAGCGTTGCGGGTGTTATATCATTGTATGCGCCAATTCGATACATTACGACAAATTCGATTCTCTGTCAGACCGGTTGGTCATTCGAATTTTGCAGCAAATTGTACTTTATTATGCTACGAGTCATTAGTTACGTCCTACGTGCATTGGTAATTAATGCTGGCGTTCGATTGTGGTTTTCGTGCGGTGGATAAACAGAATTTCGATAAATTTCGAAACGCGAATGCTGTCGCACAAACGGAATGTATTATATTTTGCAATTTTATGTCTTGTATAAATTTGGTATTAAGGGTTGTCCCGATAATATCTAAATTATTAGATAATATCGATACGAAGGGATTGAATTAAATAGGTACATTGAAATTTAATTAAAAATGATTTAAAATTTAATTAAAAATGGATGAAAATATTTAATTGAAATAATTTTAATAGTATTTTTCGCATTTTTTTTCGAGTCTGTTTTCGTAATCCATCATGAAATAAATTTCAGAGATGGAAACAGGGAAATAAAAAACGAGGATTTTTTTTACGCTAATGGATTTTTTTATACATTTGTGTGTGCTTGCTCTTCTCATGTTAATACGTGGGTTCGTTCGAAATTTTAATTTACGTGGTCGGTTGTTTTCGCAAATAACATTAATATGGAATTTTACGATTGTTGGCGTTTCATTAAGTACGTACCTTTCCTGTATAAGCAAAGCGCAGATCTGTAGAACATTCCATTTGTAATATAATTAAATAATTGTATTGTTCGTGTTCGCGGGTATGTACGATCGTTAAATATCTACTAACCGGAACAATGACGAGCGATCGCTTTCGCGACAAGTGACCGTGACAACGTCACGGTTATAGCCGCTAGTCGCTCGTAATGTATTGAAATCGCCAGTAAGATCGTCGAAATGACGATCGTTATCAGGCACGTGGCTGTGATTAATCGTTTATCTCTCGCGGTTCGATTATATATGGAAGCTGGCCGTCCGAATCGAATGGACTATGTTTGTAGCGTATTTGGTATTGTGCACGTCCAAACGCTCCTCCAATGTTCAATCGATCTCTTCGATTATTCTGGGATATAACACAATTACGGCCGGTTCTCGATTTTGATACGACCGCGAATTGTACGATACTCGTCCATTAGTGTATTGCGACTCATTGCGCGATTAATGTAATCGTGTCTACGTGTAAACTGGTTTGTATAATATAACCACATTTCTTTTATTTTTTCTCAGCTTCCATAATTTTTTCATATTATTTTTATACATCCGATACGATTGCAACATTGAATTTCATCGAGCGGTTCACTGGAACTCGATTTGTTTTCCATAAATAAATTTTTTTATACTCGTAAGAAAATGTATTATCATAATAATATCGTGATGCCTATTGCATATTTATTAATTATTTTTTGAACATTTATGTTGTCATTTATTTATTTAATAGTAATTTATTTAATTGCATTTAAGTATCTATTACTTTCAAATAATATTAGAAATATTTTTATTATTACTTTTCTAACAAAAATACAATTTGCAAGTAATAAAACATTTTTATTTCAACAAAATATGAAATGTACAACGTTTGTTTTCTTTTTCTGCGAATACCGCGCGTATTAGTATCTTTAATAGAAAAAAAACTGTATAAAAATATAATTCGAGAAAATTGCTCGACTGAAAGTATTAACACGTGCAAGTTGTCCTGGAATATTTTGTGATAATATTCCCATGAGGATTTATATGTTTTCAACTTAATTAATTGGCCTTTACAGGAACGTTATTAGCTTATTATTTTATTCACGCAGCTTTGGCTTCCCTAGTGTATCGTATGACAAACTTTGCCTGCAAGATGATATT